ATATTTTTATAATTACAGAAATCTCATTTATATCTATATCTATCTATATCTATATCTATACTATATTAAAAGCACGAAGGCCTTCGCGAAATGTCGTTCGCCTTTTTTACCCTTAAAAAATAGATTCCCCTTAGGACAAAATTGTCATTTAAACTTATCCTTAATGTTTAGGAGTTCTAAATCAATTAAATTTTGTACATTAAATTTTTCCTTATTTGAATATGGTAAAAAGTACTAATATTAAATGGACTCAAGGAACAACATGTTTTTAGGGGTATTCTCGCTATGCTTCTTATGCGAAACTGCAAATCCTACTCTTCCTAAAGCGAGAGACTTTTGCCTCAAGAAAACTCCATTTACATAAACCTAAGAAGTCTTCTAAAATCTCATGTCTTTAGACTAGAACAAATATCTTCCCTGGTTAAAGTTGTAGATTATTCCTTTAGTTAGTTTTGTTATAAACCAAGACCTGTATATTAATTTGGAGAGAGAAAGTTTGTATATTTTATGCAAGTTATTCTCTTCTAATTTTCTAATTCTTTTGGTGCATGAATTGTTCGGGTGACTGCTGGCATTTCGTAAATTAGATTCGAAGCACTTGTGCTAAAGCAAAAGAGCTCTTCAATTCACAAAAGAAACTTAAAAGAGGGAAGGGATCACACAAAACAACTTTGTGCAAATATTTCAATTTAATGTTGACCATCCGCAGGTATACTTCTGTATCCAAAGGTCCATAATGTAAAGTCTTCCATCAAGATTAGGATAATAAGAATGCCACAATTGATACATCCATGTCGCTTAGGTTTTTTTAAGTTGACGTTTCACGTTTTTATATATTTTTTGCAGCTAACATGTTATTTATATAGATTAATATTATTTTTTTGGTATAATTATTTGGTTATTACTATTATGGAATCAAAAGTATAAAAAAATATTCTTATAATATTTGATCTGACATTTGTACATTTTGGTACGACAATATTCCTTTAACATATTTATTGTACAATAATATAAATATAAATTGTAACAACAACAACAACAAGCCTTTTCTACCCTTTAAAAATTAATTTCACACTAGATAAAATAGTCTTTTAATTATTTTCCTAATTTTGAGAAATATAAATATTTAATTATTTTTTAATATTTAAGATTTCAAAATCAACTAAATTTTTATATTAGATCTTCCTTATTTGAGCTATATAATATAATAAATTTATAAAGAAAATCACATTAATTTGTGAAAAAGGAAAATCCCATTATTATATCAATTTATGGAAACTTTGTGGTACACGTTCGGAATGTAGTGATAAAAATGCTTCTTCTTTTTTTTCCAAGTTTTCTCTAAATGTCTGACCTTTAAACTAATTAAAAAAAAGACTCTATCTCCTTATGTACGAGATTCTATTAAATATGATAGAAATATGTAGTGAGAGAATTTGCTTCTTCAAATTTTTACTATTTGTTTTTCCCCATTAGAGTTAATTAATTATTTTAGACTAAATTTGATTACAAACAATAAATATATTAGCATAAATATACATTCCATATTGGATATGCCATCAATGTTTTAAATGTTGGACTTAGATTTTTTTTTTTCTTCAATTTAGAATGAGCTAATATGTTAAAATTTGAATTCAACTATGAATTTTTCACTTTCTCTCCTAAATTTTATGAGGTTTCTTAAATTATATGACCTTTTTCAAAATAATAAATATTTTTTTATTTCATTGTAAGATTCGTGCATGGGTTGCCTATGAGAATATTTGCTTCTTTCAAGTTTTTCGTAACTATTTGAATTTTTTTAAATAATAAAAATAGCTTTTTTTCTTGTGGATGATTGTTGTGATAATATATATTATCCTTTAAAAAATTGATTTCACAATTCACATTGGACAAAATTATAATTTTATTGTTTTTCCAATGTTAAGAAGTTGAAATTTGAACTCAACTATGAATTTTTCACTTTCTCTCCTAAATTTTATGAGGTTTCTAAAATTCCTTGACCTTTTTCAATTAATAAATACAAATTTATTTCATTGTACGATGTGTGCACGGGTTGCTTATGAGAATATTTGCTTCTTTCAAGTTTTTAGTAACTATTTGAAATTTTTAAATAACAAAAAGAGCTTTATTCCTTACCCCTATCCTGGGGTAGAGAGGCTGTTTCCAAATAGACCCCCGGCATCATTCCCTCCAAGAACTTCCCACCTTGCTCTTGGGGAGACTCGAACTCACAACCTCTTGGTTGGAAGCGGAGGTTGCTTACCATAGTTAGAACTAAGACAAATTAATTTTATATAAATAATTATTTTAGTAGAATAAAAAACACACATAGAAGTTTTGTATGAAAAATGATGTTTGATTATCTGGATATATAATAATATTTCCATTTCTCTTTAATCAAACACTCCTTCTAGAAAGTTTATTTATCAAAATGTAAATAAACATTCTAATAAATACTATAATTAGAATAATTTGTATTAATATCCACAATTATTATACTTTTTATCTCAACATTAAATTTTAGGAATAATTTTGAAATGATACAAAACAATTATACATTAAATATATGTAGCTTAATAATATTTATAGAATATTTTAAAGTTTTATAGTTATTGAGATGGGGTGCACGCGCAGAGCGCGTACCCTGAGACTAGTACTATATTAAAAGCACGAAGGTCCTTAGCGAAATGTCGTTCGTCTTTTTTACCCTTTTAAAACAGAGTTCACACTAGATAAAATAGTCATTTAGTTATTTCGTTAATATCTGAATATTCATTAATTTATTTTCCTAATATATAGAAATAGTAATTTAATTTTTTCCGAATCATAAATTCTTTCCTTTTCGAATTGTATAGGCAAAACTTCTATAAAAGAGCTATTATTCCAAGTCTCGATTTCCAGATTCTCTTTTTCTGAATACAAACAATTTATATTTATTCATGCTCGGATTTTTTGACTTTTTAATTATGATAATTACTTTTTGAGTTATGTTTAACTCTCTGATATTTGACCAACTAAGAACATAAACTATGCTAGCATGCATATTACCTCTTGTTTTAGTAGTATTATTTGTTAGTTCTGATACGGTGACATTTTTTATTTATTAATTAGTAGGAATAGTTGTTATCAACCATTGTTGCACGCAGATGTTGTGGTTGTTAATAAGCATGAAGATCAGTTAAAAAGAATATGCATTTCATCGCAAAGAAGAAGGAAAACGAAAAAGCCATTATTACGTTTCTTATGATTTCTTGGTAATTTGTCTATGTTGACCAACTTAAAATCTTCTTTTGCTTAAAGTCTTGCAATACTCTATTTAGACAGATTTATTGTAGACAACATAGTGTAATATATATATAGAAACCGTGATATGATAATTAACTAGCCTTAGAATCTGCAATTGTAACCACGTTAGTAATTTTGTGAAGAAAGATTTGATAATGTGCTAAAATCAAGCAATGACTAGCCTGGCAAAATACACATAGATAGTACAAGTAAAAGTCGTTTCTACATTATTATTGAATACACAGAGCTGCCAGAATTTCTTTTTGACAATGATTCGGTTTTATATAAAGATAGTTTTTATTTGCTCTTTATCTTAAAATCTTCTACACCAACTTCTCAATTATTTTCCCTTAACATATCTTTTTCAATTTCATGTTTTGGACTCGAAGGATTTCAAATTTGAGATAATTAGTCTGGGTGATTCAATAAAAATAATTAGTTAGAAATTTGATGTATGTCTTATAGTTCCCTATTATTTTTTCTACGTTTAATAATTAACAATACTAATTTTTTTCAGATTTTAAAAAATTTACCGACATTTAAGTTTTTTTCCTAATATTAAGGAGTTTAAATCAATGAAGAATTTATGTATAGATACTTCTTCCTTATTTTATTTGTATTATGCATCTACACTATAATGCTTTTCTTATTGCATTCGTAAACTTAAGTCCTATTTCATGTTTAACTCTTGTTTCATGAGCTGCAAAGCCTAAAAAAATGAGGAGAGAATAAATAGGAATGAATCTGATTTGAACCACTATTTATTAAATTAGGTAAAAAATCCTAATATTCATTACTATATATATAATCTACTGAGAATTTATCACTTCATTGATATAAGCCAATAAACACATAAAATTACACCAACTTAAATATCTGAACTTACGCAAGTTACTTTACATATATAAGACGACTTGAAATGATAGAATAATCATTAAATTATACTTAATTTTTATATGATTAATAAAGAAACATAAATAAACATTGCAGTTATGTATATAATAAAGGAGTCCTAAAATAAGAGCACACTCATGTACAAATTTAAAATAGGAAAATACCACCTATATATAGGAATACACCAATCAATTACTATATTAGTAAACTTATACTTTGTTTTAACTTTTCTTTTATGATAACTCAATCAAAATTTTCAGTTTAAAATTTATGTTATTCTTTTAAAATTTAATATTTATTAATACGAGGTACACGCGCAACGCGCGTACCCTAAAGACTAGTGCATGTTAAATAGGACAAGTTTCAAAGTTTTTCTTTCTCAGCCTAATTAAATTTTATGTGCGGTATAATTAAGTGGTTAAGATTTACCCTGATTTATTACCATATTTGATTATGGAAGGGCAAAATATTTACCATAATTAATTTTATTTTTCCTAAAAGAAAAATCTATGTCTTCAATATTGAAAGATTCTTTCTTGTTGAGGATCCGTGTTTCATATAAAACGCAATAACATCCACAATTTAGTTATTAAAAGTCTTGTTTATAATATAATTTTTTTGATATATTTCTATTTATCGTGCCACAAATAACATATTTTTAAGTGTAAGAAATATTGAAAGAATGTTTAAATTAATTAATTTACTCGTCTCATGATTATTATTAGAGCCATTTTTTCGATGCATTCGTATAATTCCTTTTAGGTTAAGATTTAAACGTGAACCAGAATTCCAGAAAACATTACACAAGAATTTTCATGTCATGTAAAGCAAGCATATCTCATGGGAAAGAAAGAAAAGTTTTGGCTAATACAAAGTCTAAACCTACATTAACGCAAAGCCCGCCGTATTTTACCTCCTAATTAATCGTCACATAACCCATCTGTGATTCTGTTTCCCTTAATCTCTTTCCCTTTTCTTTAATTTTCTCTTCCTTTCCAATACCATAATTGTCCAAAACCACGTCATTAGATTTACACAAACACAAACACAAACACAAACACAAACTTACATTTAATATGGGAATTTACAACATTAAATGTTTCCCAACTACAGCATCTCATAACTGAAATTTCATCCAAAAATGTGCTTCATCAACCTGAAAGATTAGAGGAAACATCAATAACATAGAAAATTTCATATTAATCATCTAACAAAGGCATGGATCAACTTTCTTCATCTCTCAAGAAATCATTTAAACCTCATAGTTCCTATAAACATACGAAAAAGTTATCCGTTCCTCACGATATCGAAAACCAACCTATCCTCTCTCATCAAAGCCCCGAAACCCCGTATTCTGCTTCTTCGTCCGTCAATTCTTCCTCGTTGACAACAAGATCATCCATTGATCTTAATGATCGTCGCGAAGTCATTGTCAAGATTGATGGCGGAGAAAAAATGACCACTCGGGATGGAAGCGAACGTAACATGTTATGGCATGAGACAAGTTATGAATTTTGGAGAGAGGATATGATGAATAGCGGGCCTCAAAACAATGGCGCGACAATCCAACGTGGCATTAAGGACATGCCTGAAGATCCACCCTCGAAATTAATCGGACAGTTCTTGAATAAACAGAGAGCTGTTGGTTGTGAAATGACATTGGACATGGATTTGGAAATGGATGAACTGAGGAATCATCCAAAACCTGATAATGATAGCGCTGCCGGATCCAGTCCACTAAATTTTCCATCTGTTGACAATAACATGAACAACAACATAAATAATCATCGTTATACGACGTCAAAGGATCTAAGAGTTTCATTTCAGGCTCCGTCACCACCTAGTAATGTGGTTGACATCGAGCCTGACCAAGCCTATAATGACAATGAATGTTGCTCGACTGATGAAGGTGAAACTAGCGATGCAACACCCGATGAACCAAAGTATCTTAGCCGAAGAAGGACGAACATTAATAATCCTCCAGATGATAGTAATAACAGCAACAATACTTACTATACTCCTAAAACCAATGCTGGTGATAATGATCAGGTGCTAAGGTGCACTTCATTTCAGAGAAGAGCGAGCGTGTTAGGAAGAGCAAAGACAAAATCAAGACTAATTGACCCGCCTGAGATACCTGAGAGAAGATCAGGAAAAATTGGAAAATCAGGTCAAATAAGATCTGGATTGTTAGGAAGAGCTTCTGGGATGCTAAAGCCACCAGAGGAGGAAGACGATGATCCATTATTCGATGAAGATCTTCCGGATGAATTTAAAAAGGACAAAGTTGATTGTTGGACTCTGTTGCAATGGATAAGTCTTGTTATTATTGTGACAGCTTTAATATGCACACTTGCTATCCCTTTATTGAAGAGGAAAGAATTCAGGGGACTTCATTTGTGGAAATGGGAGGTTTTGGTTCTTGTTTTAATATGTGGGAGATTGTTATCCGGTTGGGTGATTCGGTTAGTTGTGTTCTTCATTGAGAGGAATTTTCTGTTGCGAAAAAGGGTATTATATTTTGTTTATGGTGTTAGAAAGCCTGTTCAGAATTGTCTTTGGTTAGGCCTCGTTTTAATTGCGTGGCACTTCATGTTTGACAAGAAAGTTGATGAGAACAATAAGTTTTTAGGGTATATTAATAAATTGATGATATGTATGTTAATTGGGACAATGTTATGGTTAGTGAAAACTCTTATGGTTAAAGTGCTAGCATCTTCATTTCATGTTAGCACTTTCTTTGATCGAATTCAAGAATCGTTGTTCAATCAATATGTGATTGAGACACTATCAGGACCACCTTTGATAGAAATTCATCGATCTCAAGTAGAAGAGGACAGAACATTGGCTGAAGTTTGGAAGCTGCAGAATATTGCAGGGGCACAGTTACCAGCAGAACTTAGGCCCCCGATTGCTCCTCAATACAGTAGTAACAAGGGCGTAAGTGTTAATGGAGGACAAACGCCAACACCAAAACCATCAAGAACAGTAAGCATTTCGATTTCTGGTATTTCTGGTCCCTTGTCAAAAAATCCAGATGAACAGAACCAAGGGATATCAATTGATCATTTGCATAAGTTGAACCCCAAGAATATTTCAGCTTGGAATATGAAGAGATTGATTAAAATAGTAAGGTATGGGGTAATATCTACGCTGGATGAGCAAATACTGGATACCAAACAAGAGGATGAGTCTACGACACAGATTAGAAGTGAATATGAGGCCAAAGTTGCAGCCAGGAAGATATTCCGAAACGTTGCCAAGCCTCGATCCAAGTAAGTAATTTCATAAACACTCAGTCAGTCAGACATATTAGTCCAAATCTGAGGTTGCATTGATCCCCCTCTTATGCTAATACAATTAACATAATGGAAGACAATAGGAAAAAAGATACTTCTATGTAATTTTCATCATATTTTGATCTTCACGTTTGATTCTTGTTAAATACCTACTTTGTGGCAATAACATTTAGCAGTTCCTGAAATGATTCCCAATTTTGGAATTACTATTGTATGGTGTATGACGGGGAGCCTTGGAACAACGGTAAAGTTGTGTCCGTGTAACCTATAGGTCACGGGTTCGAGCCGTGAAATCAGTCACTAATGTTTCATTAAGGTAGGCTGCCTACATCACACCCCTTGGGTGCGGCCCTTCCCAGTACCATGCGTGAATACGGAATGCCTCATGCACCGGGTTGCCCTTTTTTTTAATTGTATAGTGTATACTTTGGTTTTGTGACCTGCTGTAGTTTGACTTTTATTCTTAATAACTTAGGGGTCGTTTGGTTGGGAAACAAGATAACCCGGGATTGTTATCCCACCTTCCTGTAGGGATAAAAATAACACTACAATCCCCGAATTAGTTAGTTATACCGCGATTTTATCCCAACCAAACGTGAGATAAACCTATCTCAAATTTAATCCCGGAATTAATTAGTCCTTATCCCTCCTACCAAACGAGCCCTTACTGTTCTGATCAATAACACCTTTCCATATTTTATGCTGAATAAAGATCACCTGATTTATTCTATCTTGTGGTACACTTATTACTCATGTCACAAAGAATCATATACTACTTAAATAGCAGTCACATGATCATATCACTTCAGTAAAATTGTCTAAAACTTTGTTCTTCGGACAGATTCATCTACCTGGACGACTTGAGGTGTTTCTTGCGAGAAGAAGAGGCTTTGAAGACTATGAATCTTGTGGAAGGATCACCAGACAGAGAAAAGATCAGTAAAGCATCACTCAAGAGCTGGGTGGTAAGAAATGCATATTATGCAATAACTATTGCTTTCTGCTCATTAATTCTTGATGAAGTTATGCACATATTTTTTTCTTTTCTACATACTCTTTGTTTGAAATAATAAACTTAGAGGTCGTTTGGTACGCGGAATAAGGTGGGATATTAAGGTGTGGGATTAAATTTATCCCATCAAACTTGGGATTAAAATTAGCGTAGGGATTATAATCCCAGGATTATAGTCCCAGGATAATTTAGTCCGCAAACGATCCCTTAAATGTTTTCATTTTTCTGTTGAGTTATTATAGGGTGGTGTCTTTTGAATCATCCTAAAATGTTTATAAATGTTGAACTTGTATTGTAATGGTGGAGTTTTTCATAATATTTATCAGTGGTTATCTCCCTCTTCCATCCTCCTTATGCCTTATAATTTTCTTCCTTTGAATTTTGTTAGTCTCTTCTTCCATTTACAATAAGTGGTAGCTAGCCTAATTTGAATTCCAACACTCTATCAATAGTTGTCTATGTCCACGTTATCAAACGACTATCCTTGAATTTCTGCAGGTGAATGCTTTTAGAGAACGAAGGGCACTTGCATTGACGCTAAATGATACAAAAACAGCTGTGAACAAACTTCATCAGATGGTGAATGTTTTAGTTAGCATCATCATTCTGGTCATCTGCCTTGTAATTTTAGGGATCGCGACCAGCAAGTTCTTGCTCTTCGTCAGCTCTCAGGTTGTTGTTGTGGCATTTGTATTTGGAAACACTTGCAAAACCATATTTGAATCCATCATCTTCTTATTTGTAATGCATCCATTTGACGTGGGAGATCGTTGTGAGGTTGATGGAGTTCAGGTATATAGCATACTTTCTTGATCCTTTTTCCTTTTAATTATGTCTCTATTTGTTCATTCCTTTCTATTCAAACATAATACTTCCTCTGTTTCATCTTTTATATCGGTGTTTGACTTGACACAAAATTTAAGTAATTCACATTACAAGATTAATCTTAGAACTTGTGGTATTAAATATTTCATTATATTTTTTTGGCTATAAGAGCAATTCCATTAAGGGTAAAACGGAAAGTCTAAATATAAAGGTCTTCCAAATATAGATAGGTGCCATTTCTTTTTAAAACAATCTAGTACCGCTTTTTAGCGTAGTTATGTGTTTAGCAAGGCCTGATATGTATAATTTTTTGTGTTTCAGATGATTGTTGAAGAGATGAACATTTTAACTACCGTCTTTCTGAGATTCGACAACCAAAAGATAATGTATCCAAATAGTACTCTTTCAACTCGACCTATTGGCAATTACTACCGTAGTCCTGATATGGGAGACTCGATTGACTTTACTGTCCACATTGCTACACCAGCAGATAAAATTGCTGCTGTGAAACAAAGAATAACCAGGTATATATTTATTCTTGTCATCCAATATTATCTTTTATCACCTCTGCGAATGCTTTGCAACAGGTTTGTAGAAAACTTTACTTACATATTTAATTGACAAAAGACATTAGAGTAACAGAATTCAAAAGAAAGAACGCACCAGCCGCATATGAATTTCGTGACATAATGTCGCGAAAAGGATGTTTGATTGGCCTTTAGATGGATGCCCCTTTCTTTCCTTTTTTAATGTTTTCATGTGTATATCCACCTAGCAAGAAAAGGGGAAAAAGTAAAAAACTAAAAAAGCTGAAGAGAAGCTATTTTTTTTCTTTTAATCTAAATGGTCCCCGGGTCATCTTGAGCACACTTTGACTATTCCACCAAGTACCTGCTATCTCCCACCAGTACATGTATTGGTAACTTTGTCTTGGTAGGCAAAGTTATCCAATATTCGCACTGGTGTGGGGTAGCAAATACCAGGTGGATAATCGAGGTGCACACAAGCTAGCCCTAACACCGTTAAATAAAAGTTTTATTAGTTAAAAGAATTTGTATAATAGTGAAAATTAGATGATATTGAGTTATGACTTGACATAATTTTGGTGGCTTGCTATTGCAGTTATATTGAGAGCAAGAAGGACCACTGGTATCCCTCTCCTACAGTTGTACTGATGAACCTGGAAGACCTAAACAGGTTGAAAATGTCTGTATGGATTAGACATAGAATGAACCATCAGGATATGGGAGAGAAATGGCTCAGAAGAGCTCAATTGATTGAGGAAATGGTTAAGATTTTCAAAGAGCTAGACATTGAATATCGACTGTATCCCATTGACATCAATGTCCGCGGTATGCCTCCCATTACCTCCAACAGGGTTCCCTCAACTTGGCCTACTGCTGGGAACTAAGCAAGAAAATCTCATCGGAATTGGCTTGCAGATGCTCCAATTTCCAAATGCGAGAGCTTCACTTTTGGTGTTCTTTTATTAGTATAGGACATTATGCCACAGGGTTTTTGGTGTTGCCCTGGATGGCCTCGGCATAAGTTGTTTTCCACTTTTTAAAGTAGAGAAGGTTATTATAATTAGAAGTTTTTCCCTTCTAAGTTCTAACATAGGCAGATCAAGGAATTAGGTACAAAGTACCCACATTCATCCAGTTTGTGACAATCAAGGTAAAATTAGCATAAATATATTACAATTTTTTTTTTTTTTTTTTTTTTTTTTTTTTTTTTGGTTAAATTATGCAACTACATAAAAGAATTTGAGCCAAAAGTGACTAGTGCATCTCTATATGCTACCGAGGATGCACACCTATCCCTGCCTACTATACTTGCTACAAAGGCACACATCTATTCGCGCCTACTAAACAACGTGCAATTAGGAATGGATTGGATCAAGTAGGATTGTCATATTGGAGGATCGTGTAATATTTTTGAACGGACCTAATGACAAGGCTAAAATAGTGCAACATTTTCTTGTAATGATAAATTCAAATAGGAGCCAGCTTTTGGTACATTACTTTGAAGTGAGAATTCTCTTAATTAGCAGCAAGCTAGCAAGTCTTCTTGAATGAATATTGCCTTCGCAAGAAGGAAGTAGTTTAGTAGAGTGAATTACATTCAGTTGCCTGAATTCTTTTAGTAAAGAGATTCTCTCCACCTGGTGATCATTGATCTAATATAACTATCATACCAAGGATAAAATAATGGACATAACTTCTGTGCTGACCTTGCGTAAAATCTGCGGCAATCAGAAATATTGAAGCACGGTTGTACACAATTGTTCGGGTTGGAGCTACACCATCATTAAATCTTGTAGTGCGCAAGCTCGTTGTCTTACTTGTTGGTTAGAATTCCTTCTTCTTGAACAGAAGAACTTACAGATATTCCTCGACTATTACTCCGCTCCTCGGTCCACGGATGGTCTCGCCAATTTTGCACAAAGGTGGATGTTGCTGAGTTTTTTGGATACCATCACGAGACAAAATGACAATGTTTTTGCAACCCAACGTTTTTTTTTCCACGGAGCAGTAAACGTTGGTGTGATTGGTTAGGTATGAGCAATCTATGCTACAAATCGATTTTGCCGGCATGTTTGTCCTCCTCTATTATGAATAATCCACCCAAACAAGGACCTTGATCTTTAAGATTTTGCTCATAAACCCTGCAAGAGTAATAAATTCATATATTTCTTAAACAGGAAATCTTGCTATGATTTGTTTCTCCACTTCAGTTTGGATGCAAATCGCTGTCATTGCTTACTTCTGAACTGCGATGCAGCTCGATTTGTTTCTTTGACTTCTTTGCAGGCGTTTTGCCATTGTGAAAAAACAGGTAATTAGGCCAATAACCAAATATTAAATGCTTGAACAGTTCGCAATATGCAGCAAAATATTAGATGCTTCAATAGCTGAAGATGACCGTTCAACAAAAAGCTACATGCCGCAACAATTAATGATTTACCTTTTTTCTTATCAGCTACCTCACTGATTATGACGGCAAAATGCACATTTGAGGATATCAGATGATCGTGTCTCAACTTTCAAACATACCAACTAGATTGATAGGTATTAACTCAATTGAACATATTCAGCTTCTTGTAGTAATCCGTTGTGGTAACATCTTTCTTGATTCAACATGTAGACCTATCGCTGTCGGGATATCCTTTCATGTATAAGTGGCATTGTAACTTGATAACCACTCCATGAAATTTTTTCCTTTACCAATGAAACATCCAATGTTCTTCCTATCAATCCTGAGTGGACATCCCACCCGTAGCAGTATTTCCTTGATCAACCCTTTCACAGGGGATTCTCCTCTAACAACACTGTGTTTTCCCGTCCCACATACCACTGTGATTTCCGCAGGAAGAACGCGATTTTCAGCAACAAGCTTGCATTGAAGCTGATGAAACCATTGTAATATGACCACATAAGCAGAGCTCAAATGCATCCCATGCAAGTCCAGCTTCAACTCTGAAGGGTTCCACTGCATTGTTTCCTCCAAAACCGATGAGCCAACCAGTATCTTCACCAAACCAGCTTCATTCTCATTCAGATTGCCCATTAACTCTTCCAGAGAAAGAGGAAGACTCTTTGGATCTTGCAGCAAATGACTAATCGTGGGGCATGAATTCAACACCGAATTGTAAGTCCTGATAGAAAATGGAACATCTGAAGCTTTCATTTTTCGGAGCCACGACACCATTTCTGAAAGCTCGTACTGAGATCCAAATGAATTAAGCACCATATTCGCACCAACTGTATCTAATTTAAGTCCCAGACCATCCATTTGACCAACAATCCTTTTCATTTCGCTAAAGCATCCTGATTTCCCATATGAGTAAACTAGAGCTCTAAATTCAAACTTTGATAATTTCAATCCTAATTCCTTCATCTCTTCCATGAATTCCTCAGCTTCACGCGGTAATCCAATAGAACAAAATGCATCCACCATCGAGGCATACCCTTGTTGCTTCAAATAAACAGACGACGAACACAAGATAACCTGCTTCAATTTTGTAACAAAATTCAAAACTCCTCTCTCCGATTTTTGCTTAGATAGTGAATGAATCAACTGAGAGTAGAAACTACACAAATCTCGTTCTCGGCTTCCCAATTTAGAAACCGTTTCAGTAACTAGGGTTTCAGCTTCATCAAATCTCTCTAGCTTGTAAAGCAATGCAACCAAGTCAGCCACTAGTTTCGAATTCCAATCAAACCATGACGCTTCACTGATTTCCAAATACAACTGCAAATAAACACTTTGCCTTGCATTCAATCAGATTAATTGTATTAGAAATTAAGTAGGAAACTGGAATAGATATAAATTTTATACATTGACAGTGAAATTATTTTACACTATCAGTGAATTGTAACCTTAAATAGTAGGTTAGTTAACATTTTTACCAGATTACTAATTAATGCTTATCCAGAGATTTTTGTGTAATACTTTTAAGTTACATACACCGTCAAGGTAATGTGTAATCTTGAAAATAAGATATATTACCTTCTACAACAGCTAAAAATGACCTCATAGCGCACATCTTACTTGAACTGACAAAATATATAGCTTAAATTATACTTTAATTACCTAATAAGTTAATCTGATTGTATAAACATTGAAATACAAAATAATATAACTGCAAACATATTTCGCTTGGCAGCGTATCATTCTTAGCTTAATCAATGAGAAGGACAAACTGAAATAGATGATAAGAGAGAGACGTACGGGGAGGGCAAGAGAAGAGAGGCGAAGGTTAGAGGTAGTAGGAGATAGGAGCTGAGATAGAGTACTGAGAGCAACGTGTTTTGAAGAAGAAGCGACGAATTTCCGTAGCAAGCGGTGAGTAGCGGATATATCGTCGGAATCGGTGGCGATAAGGGTGGAGATAAAGCGGTGGCCTTGTTTGCTTAATGAGCAACGAGGACTACCTGACTGTGCGTGACGGTTCCAGAGGCTTATCCGGTGAAGTGGCAGCGTCAACGGCGCCGGAACTAGGATACTTCCGATCATCGTTTTGGATAAATAATCGAATCTATCGTGTAAAATGGCAACGATACAAATTTGCCCCTAAATTTTTCCAAATGGTTTTGCACTATAGTTAACCAAAATTTGTCCTTATTGTGTTATGAAATGATAGTACGCTAAGCTAAAAGAGTACTATGACGACGGTCCATGATTTTTTAGTTGTTTTCGTGTAAATTAAGAAATTCATCTTTTAATATTAATTAGCAATGAAATTAATTATATTAATATTTACTATTTCTTCACATAAATAATCCTAACACATACTCCAATACTATTTACTCCAAGGACAATATAGGAAAAAAATAATTAATCCGTTCTTGAAATCTGGAAAAATACTTATGGACCACAAATAAAAGGCCAAAAAATTACTTATTTTGGACCGAAGGGAGTATTACGTTAAGACTTAAGAAGTTAACTGTTGATAGAAATTTCTTATGTTTATATAGTTTTGTCCTTAATCTAGTTGTAATTTTCAATTGAGTCCCTATGTTAAGAAACTTAGGGGTCGTTTGGTTTAGAGAAAATTGTGCGCGGATTAATTGTATAGGGATATGTAATGCCATAACTAACCGCTTTTCTTGTGGAAGACACACACTTCTATTTTTTAGTGCCAATAGAAGATTGTGAGGTGTCGTCCAATGCAGTAATCAATGTTTACGGCTTGTTTGGATGGCTGTCACATATTGTATTGTATCGTATTGTTACTTTAAATACAATATTTATTTTGATTGTTACTTAAATTTTGTTGTATCGCATCGTCAAATTCGTTGTTACGTAACGATGAAAAGTGTCACTTTATAGAACGACAAATTTTGTGTGATCGCATCGTTACCTTA